TAGAAGGTGAGCCACTGTTTAACAAACAATTAAATGATTTACAACAGGACAAAACAGAAGCATATGTGTAGTGAGAAAATGACTAGGAACCTGTCACCACAGTTAAGTTAGCCTCATAGTCCATGGCTTTAATATCTTTACAGAAGGTAGGAGTTTTTAATGACAGAATTGTGATGTCCAGTACACAGACATCGATGCACACCGATTATTTTTCAGCTTCAACACATTTTGTGATTTGTGCCAAATCGTGTTAATAGCTAATATAATAGGTCCTTTCAGCTGTAATGACATGGTGGTTCAGCATTTTGGGCTCATGGTGACTCTTGCACACCCCTTTATTTCCCAGAATGATTTACGTACGAATTTTTATTAATTTTTGAATGTTTCAATGTATCCGTATAATGTGCAATGGGACAATACATGAATGGGTTAATAACGTTAAAACTAGACAAGACAGGCACATCTAGTGAAGTGTGCTTTGGTCAGTGGACAACAGGGAACAATGCACACCCCTTGGGTTTTCAGAATAACTTTCTCTCTAACAGTTATTAATTAATACATTGTATGCATATTATATGCCATTGCTCCATTTCATACATATTCAGAGAGAGCGCCTCTCGCTTTTTGCTTGGCAATGTTGTACGGATCATCCAGGTACGCCGGCATTGTCTTCTGAGAAATTGTAGTGGGAGGGGCGGTGCTCATATGGGTCTGGCTTACGCGGAAACCTCCACTTAACCAAGAACAAAAACTGCTCGGAGCAGTTTTGAGACTTAGCGTAAATTGACATAGCAACATGTCTCGACTAAAACCTACCCACCTTTCGTAGCACGGGTTAATTGTGAAGTTACACCACACATCATCAAGTTACTCACAAAGTTACCACGATAAGCCAGTTACCCCGCTTCGTAGTACAGGCCCCAGTAAAAACACACTCAAAGGCACAAAGGCAAAAAAAAACAAAACCGAATACAAATCAAAGCACAGGGACTAGAAAATTGATACAAGTGAAACATAAAGGAACAAAATCTGCAAAAACAGGAGGTGGAATTTGAACACATGACAAAGGGATTTGCAGGCAGCCGCAAGCTCAACTGGTTGAGTCATGTGGCTGACAGGGAACAGGGGAAAAAGACAAAGGTTGACAACAGGAGGGACAGGATGACCAGCAACGCCTGCTGGCCAAAATAGGGAAGGGAACATGAAAGACTCAGACAGATGGGTGCTGACCCTGACACAAGTTAGCTTGTTTAGCACTTTTGGTTGAAGCAGTAGTTACAACATAAGAACATAAGAACTATACAAACGGGAGGAGGCCATTCGACCCATCGAGCTCGCTT